CAATATCACAATCTATGTTAAAGAAACGGTTTCACTCAGCACCGACTACTTAAAAAACAAAACCAAAAAAACTGGCAGATTTTGGTTACTCCTCTAGCATTTGGATACTACGCTAGAAGGAACAGTATCATCAAGGGATGATGGAGCAATGTATTTTAGTAGGAAGTGATAAGTTTTTATTTTACTAAACAGGGCTAATAGCCAATAGAATCGGGATCAAGGAGCTCCTCACTTTGAAGGGTTTCCAAAAAACCCTAGTGTTAATTTTACATATATCATTGCAGCTCTAGAATGCAACCTTTCAGATAGGCAGGTGTTTTGTTTGAACCCCATAAATGCTTTGGAAGACATCTCTTGTGCAGTGCTAAGAGCCTGCCTTCTGGTATCAGACAGCTCTGGGTTTGCCGTCAGCCTCCTACTAGCTGTGTGACATCTGGCGAGTCACTCATCGCTAGAACCGCAGCTGGTAGTGACCATAGTCAGACTACCTCATATGTACTCGTATGTAAACGCATAGGTAGAGTTTTATACTCAGTGCTTTATAGTGTCTTCCATTTATTATCTCATTTAATCCTCATGGAAACCTCGTGAGGGAAGTACTGTTGTCATCACTTTAGGAATGAGCAAAAGGAAGAACTGAATTCTTCAAGGACACGCAATGAGCACAGGACCTGGGGCAAGAACCTGAAGATTCTGTCTCCATGTTCCGAGTTCTAGCCCCATTCACCTGCCTCCCTGAGCCTCAGTTTCCTTGTCTGCAAGGTCAGAACAATAGTAAGCCTTGTAGAGTTGGCAGGAGGCTCAGAGATCGTGGAGTGCTTCTGAAGCTGGCGATTCATTATCACTGCCAGCACTGTTGCTCTTAGCAATGATTGTCATGTCAATCAGTTTCTAACAGGAAGGAGTCACACATCCAGTCTTCCTTGCACACCTATCTCTGCGAACAGAGACAAGCTCTACTCACTTAAGAAAAGCTGGTAGATTTCCTACAGTTTCATCAGGGCCAATGAGCAGGGTCACCAGTGACTCAGGCACCTGCTTTGTGACCATTTGGATGCCTGCCTAGAGGTATAAACTCTCTAGGAAACATTCTCTTGTTGGTAAGCTCGCTTTCTCCTTCATGAATCTGGGCCCAAAATCCACTGTGTCTTTAGCTTCTTCCCACAAAGAGGAGATTTTCCTGCTGGCAGCTCTAGCTGCCATTGTGGGATTTTGCCCAGGAAATTTTGTGAAGTTATCTGACCCTATAGAATTGTATAAATTTTTAAAGACTGTCGGGGCGCCTGGGTGGCTCAGTTGTCAAGCGTCTGCCTTCGGCTCAGGTCATGATCCCAGGGTCCTGGGATCGAGGCCCGCGTCGGGCTCCCTGCTCCGCGGGAAACCTGCTTCTCCCTCTCCCACTCCCCCTGCTTGTGTTCCTTCTCTCACTGTGTCTCTCTCTGTCAAATAAATAAATAAATAAAGACTGTTGCAAAATCAGGAATCTCGACACAAGGCAGCCACATCCAAAGCAGCAATCTGATTCAACAATCCCCACTTCAATGGCAGCCCTTTCGTAAACACGAACAGCTACCAGAGACCAGCATTAAAAGCATCAGTCACTACTTAATTGTGTCCTTAAAGGCAGGGACGTGTAAACATTAAAGACATACATTTTTTGCTACGGAGATACTTTGAGGCCAGACCTACAGAATGCGACAGCTGCCATCCAAAGTCTCCCTGCACCAAGAGATGTTTGTCTGGAAAATCCAGGCCTGGCCAGACAGCTTCCAGTCCTCAGAGGACCCTGCTGGTTGTCACCCAGATGTTCTCTCATCCCACAGCACATAGACCAACAGGGGATGCAGGATCCATATCTGGAGCTCCTTCTGCTCCCCGCCCTACAGCCATGATGGCTCAAAACCATGGGTCATATGAATGGTACTTGGCTAGTCTGTCACACGATTGTTTAAATGCCTACCAGGCTAAAATTTCCATTTCTAAAGCAGTGTTTCCCAACATGTGCACCCAGATCAGAATTATCTGGGGTGTTTGTTAGAAATGCAGATTCCTGTGCATGTCTTATCTATTTTCCTGTGTGATTATTTGTTTCTCTTGTTAGCATGGAAGCCCTGAAGAGTAGAAACTGGTCTGTTTCCCCCGGTACCCCAGTACCCCCTACGGTGTGTGACACATCGAGAGTAAGCACTCAATACATCTTTGTGGAAGGAATTAATTCCCGGGCCCCATAATCGACCTCCTGAATCAAAATCCCTAAGAGCGGGGCCAAGAAATCTGCATTTTAAAGGCACACACAAGTGATTTTTTTATGCACACTAAATTTTAAGAACCATTGTTCTAAAGTAATTCAGCGAATTCTAAGATAAACAGAAAGACGAAAAGTTTTGTCTCCAGAGGCCCCAATACTATATCATCTGTGAGTTAAACTTCTCTGTTCTGCTCACATACCTCCAACAAATGTTGATCGGCCACCTTCAGGTTCTGGGTCCCTAAGTGGATAAAACAGGTATCTTAGGCAGAGGGCCTAAGAAAGGCTGCAACCTGCCCAGTCAAGAGCCACAACCATCACTTTCTGCCTGAACTGGGTTATTTGACGAGCCCGCCCCAAAACTCCGATCGAGAAATGCAACACACTGTTCATTACTGCTTTCTCAGCATGCTTGAATGACACCTCTGATCCAGGAAAGTCAGATATTATCTGCAAGGATCTATCTTATCGTAAAAGACTCCAGTCTTCCTAAATAGGTTTCCTATCTGTTTGGCCTTTCGAGGAAGCTTAGTGTTTTATTTCTAGTTACAATCAACCTTTTGCCAACATTTGATCTTGGGCAGTCCCTTCGCTTCTCCTGGCCTGCTTCCTCATTTGAAAAATGAGACAATTAGACTAGAAACAGGTCTTCAGCCCCTTCCAATTATAATGTACCCTAATCTGTGACTTCTTGGTGACACCTTACTGCCTCATGCTTAACATCCAGGTATGATTAGACGAGTGAATCACAGCTGTCAAACTTGTCCAACCAAAACTCTCCAAAGGAGAGGAGAGTCTTTTACTCTCCTTTGGTATGTGGAAGACTAGGGAAAATTTGGGATTTGCAAACTGTTTCTGAGAATTCTCTCTCAGTTTCCATGTTTACCTAGAAAAATACAATGGCAACTTTAATGTGCTGAAAACTATGTAAAAGACAACTATGATACCCAAATTTCTTCTGAATCTGCACAAATTTTTGTTTCTATCAGTGCTGAAGCAAGGTGTTTGAGCATAGCCTGATCTAGAGAGATGGAAAATCACTGCTTCGTGGGATGCCCCCCCCCACCCCAGCTGAGCTGTGAAGTGTAGGGAGAGATGTAGGGAGTGAGCTCCTTGTCCCCGCCTCACCCCCTGCTTTCCGTTCCTTCTGTCCCTCCTTCAGAAGCCCCATCTCACCCAAGTTCCCCAGAGGTGGGGGCTCTGACCCGGAATTGTACCCTCAGCACCAAATGTACGTTCACTGTCTTTTGTTCCAACCCAGCCTGACTAATCACTGGTAACTTGTCTATGATTGTTGCCAGATAATTGCATTTTAACTGCCTTCCTTTGGAAAACAGCTTCACATAAATTAGTGGTTCTTAAGGCGTTCAGGCCTAATGTCTGCTTTTTATGCCAACTAGTTTGCACTGCTTCCTTTATGAGCCTGAGATGAAAATCGCAGAAAATAAAACTTAACTACATAATGCCCAAATTATTTTTTATAAAATGGGTGTTAGGAAAGTAACTTATAATAAAATAACATATTTCAGTATGTAAAGCTTAGAAGATGTAATGAAGTGCCTAAAGTCACAGGGACAGCCAGGAATGGATTATCGACCTAGCAACAAATACCAACCCCCCCAACTCACTGCTCCCTAAACGCCAATAGGGTTTCCCAGCCATTTATTGTGACAACCTCCTGCTCATAATTTATTTTTCCAAATTGCCTTTTAAAAACCTAGATTGATGACCCCGATGTGAAAAGTTAAGCCAGTTTATCAACCTCAAGAGAGCTATTTTGGCTTAAAGAATTTTTTACTACTTCTGGCACCATGCAACTACTCTGTCCTTTCCCTATTTTTTCCCCCAAAGTCTTGGGAGAAGGATGTCATAATACATAACAATCTCAACAATACAAGTTAACATTTATGAAATGCTTCCCACATGCCGAGCACTTTTTAAATAATTTTGCATTTATTAACTCATTTAAACCTCATAACTCCATAAGTAATATTACTATCACTCTGTTCCAGGGACAGTAATGGGAGGCACAGAGAAATCAAGTCACTTGACTAAGATGACACATCTAGCTACATCCAGCTTCTTGTCGAAATCAACTCCTTTGATTATTATAATAATGCGGTTTTGTAATTAGCAAAGCACTATCTGTGTTTTTATTTTAGGAAAGAAACATTTCAGGAAGGAAAGAAAGGATGTTTCTTTTTCCAAAGTCCATGTATCTAAATATTTGAAATTTGAGCCCATGTTTTCCTGGCCAGCTTTATGCTTTTAGCACTTAGAATGTAATTAGGTATTTTTTTATTTAATATTTTTATTCAATTGTTTCAGAATGGATTTCTCTTCTTGGCATGTCATCTATATGTGAAATTGCAGCTCCCTTCATTTGAAGATTGGGAACACAAATCTCTTTTCTGCACTCACTTTTCATTGCCAAGTGGCTCGCGCCAAAGCAGGCTTGTTTTAACAGAGTTAAGAGGATGACCCAAAAAGTGGGTTCTGTGCAGCATGGAGTGACATGTGGCTGTTCTAACAGCACAGTGTGCTCAGGAGTCTCCTCAATGTGTCAGAAATTATATCCTGCATCCTTCAGGGAGGAACTGCATTTCTTCCTGGAAACAGGCATCGAGTTGTTTTAACTGATCATGATTATCCACTGTGTAGGGTTGAACTTTTACTCTGATATGGCTGCTTGTAAAGACAACAAAGTAAACTATTTGAAGCAAACCTATAATGTGTGTATTTTTCCTTTCAGGGGGAAAATGATCCCATCTGATCTTGAAAGAAGGATCCTTGAAGCCAAACAAAAAGTAAGTTTTTGTAGGGAGCTTTATTCAACCCATAACAAGCGAAGGGTACATATTTCTGTTTCCATCCAGTGGAGAACACACTTTAGTTTTGGTTTTTTTGTTTGTTTGGGGGGAAGGGTGTTGGGGGGCATAGGGAAAGGGAGAGGGAGAATCCCAAGCAAGCTCCACGCCCAGTGCAGAGCCCAACACAGGGCTTGATCTCACAACCCTGAGATCATGATCTGAACCACAATCAAGAGTCAGACACTTAGCCACCCAGGTGCCGCCACCTTGGTTTTGTTTTGAAAAGAAGACCCAGTTCTCAACCTCCCAGCTTTACTGAGAATATGGGATTTTTGCATCCAGTCATTATTTATTTCTCTGAGTTGTAGCCTCTGCTTTGGAAAGATCTAAATTGCTGTTTAAATAATACACCCTGTGATAATATACACGGTGATGTTGGAGGAATTTCTAAAGCTTTACTATGTGCTGAGACTTGGCATGAAACAGACATACAGTTGAAAGATCATTTTCACAAATGGAAAATATCACAACACCAATGCAGCATGAGTTACTGTGGTGTGGTTACTTGAAAGGGGTCAATTTTTCCCGCCTAGGAATATGGTTATGATTGGCTCTCCAAGCATCTTCTTCTTTGGCATGCAATTTAGAAGTCTTAGAAGCAGCAAGTTCTGGAGACCAGCAGCAGATTCCCACAAAGCTCTAGAAAGTCATTTCTAACCCCGCAAACCAGAGAGCTGGTTTGTAGAACTCCCTTAGTGTAACTTTTAGTGGATAGGACCCACGGTTCCTAGTTCAACGAGAAGAACGGGTGCGTTTTATTATTATCAATTTAGGAAAACATTATTTCTTTTCATCTGCCTTTTATATTTTTCTGCAAAGTGGCAGCAGGAGGTTCCCCTTGTTCCTGTGCTCCAACTACTTCTAGTAGCATAAACCACAAGATTAAACCTTTGCTGCCACCTAAAGACGGACTCTGACAGCCTGTCACATCATGGCTCTGTTCATTCTGTTTGAGGCATTCTTCTTTCTACCTTCCAGCAATTTTCATTTAGCCAGGGCCAGACAGACTGAAGACTACTTAGACAGATAACGGTCACGGCTTATTGTCTAATCCCACATGAACCCTTCCCTCTAAGACACCAAATAAATGATCTCCGGATTTTCTAAATAGGAATAATGGGCCGGTTGTATTTCCTTCTTTGTTCTTTTGCCTGCTCAATCTAGGGGACTGTTATGTAAAAGGAAGACTGGAAAGTGAGCAAAAAGGAAGACTAGAAAGTGAACAAAGTGGGGTAGAATGTCTACCTGGAATGTATAAACAGCTTGGGGGCACCATAAAACTTCCTCACCTCTGGGTGCAGTGTGGCCTCTCCTGAGAACCAAGCGTCTGTTCTCCTAAGGCAAATGGCAGGTCCAACAGAATGTCCTGGAGAACTCAGATCCTGGAGAGTGAATACCTTCCCAGGCTCCAAGGGGTCAACACTCCCTTTGATGGTTCCAAAACCGGAGAAGTGTATGACAGAGGGAGAATATCCACTGTTTTTATCAGCTCAAAAAAAAAAAAATCTGTGACGCCCTGTTTGACATTATCTGGGGCTTTCTCGTTTGTGTAGGGATTTGTTCCTTTCCTTGTGAGCGCCACAGCTGGGACCACCGTGTATGGAGCATTTGACCCCCTCTTGGCAGTTGCTGACATTTGCAAAAAGTACAAGATCTGGATGCATGTGGATGTGAGTATCCCATAGGGACGGCCACTAAAATATCCTTGCACATTTATTCATTTGGGGCTCATGGAATGAAATGTTCTCTCTCCCTCTCTCTTTTTTTTTCCTTTGGGAGCCTATTTTCGGAATGGGGAGATTTAAGCTTTTGAAGAGTGCAGAGACAAAGTAGCCCACAACTCACCCAGTACCCAACATTGACTGGAGGAAGTCAGAGGCTGACCTGCCTTAATGTCCCCAACATGATAATATTCAAATTATTTCTATGACCAGTACCCAAGCTGAGCACTTAGCTCTTGATTCATCAGCCTATAACGTCCTTGGAGGAATGTAGCCTACACACATGCAGGTTGTACTTCCCTAGGAGAATGATCAAAAAGGCAAAAAAGAGTTACATTTACATAGGAAACCCAGAGGATAAAAAAACAAACAAACAAAAAAACACAGAAAAACAAAACCCTCAAGCTCAAGTCAGGTATTTGTATATTTGGAGAGGAAAGCACACTCGGCAGCTTGCTAGGAAGTATGGGCCACCAAATTTCCAATTTCTTAGCTGGGCCAGCTAAGAAGATAAATTATAGTTCAAATGTTTTTGACTCCAGACCTAGTCACACTAAAATGAAGATGTGCCCACCAAAACATTTTCAAATGGAAAAAAAAAAAAAAAGTCAAGATTTAGAAGGACAAAGTGAAGAAATTTAAGCATAGGCCAGTATTACTCAAAGTGCTGTTCAAAGATCAGCTGTTATCTACAAACTGTTCGTTACTAATCCACTATTACTAAGGGTGAACCAGGTAGATTTCCATGATCCCAGTGTTACCCTGCATAGTGGTTACCAGTCTTCTTTTCCTTCCCTGATTCACAGTGTGAGTTGTTCATTAGGCTACCAGAGACCCCATCTGTTTTACAAATGAAGACACTAAGTTGAACAATTCAAGTACCATCATGACCTGGGTCTCGGAACTGGAGAGCCTATTAAAGCTTGTTAGCTGAAACCGGAAGAGGATTATCCTGACAACTTTAAAAATAGCAGTGTCTGTGCATCCTGAGCCAGCAGGTGCTACGGTCTCTCCTCTAGGATTTCTACTTAAAACAGAGCGGGGAGATCTTTTAACCAATTATATTTGTTTTCTTTGAAACCTACCAAGTGTATCACTTATTATCTTAAATGTTTATACTCTTTATAATTAAATTAGAGAAAATCTTAAAATATTACACATTTGGAAAATCGGATAATTTTTCAAAGTGTAAAAAAACTGAAATTACAACAAACTAAAAAAAAAAGGCAATTATACCCTTAAAAGGTTTTTTTTTTTTTCTTTAAAATTATCCTAGGATTATTTTTACCCACAAAGAATGCCAACATTTTCCAATGAATCTCCATCTTAACATCTTCTTTTTAAAGGAGATGACTGCATCACTACACTAATTCAAATCTTCAAACTTGAGTACGAGTTTTTAAGAGGCATGTTCTAGTCGCTCAACAAACTGGCACAAATTCTTCCTGCTTGTTTTCCTCTTTCTTTCTTTCTTTCCCTTTTTTCTTGACAGGGAAATTATCTTATCCTAAAATACATATTAGTGAAATAGGATTATGAAGCTGCTTCTTCCTTCTGGAATCATCCAGACTTGCCAAAGGAGTTTTCCTTACAATTCAGAAGCTGCTTAATGAGTCCCCTAGCCCATCCTCTGTACTTCCAACAGGGCAGACAACAGGGTTTCTTGTTCTGAGATCACGAGCTTTACTAGGACTATGAGTGGTGGTGATGTGTTGGGGGAAAGGATCTTTCCTTTGTGCAGACACAAGAAATGTGCCCCCAGTTTGGCTCCTTACACTAGTCTAAATGTGGGATGGAACCTGAAACCTTAGAATAGCTTCCAATTTAAACTTTGAAAGTCTAGTGCCAGAAGGTGACCAGCCCCCTGTTGCCTGAGCCTGAGGAGATGACTTTCACCCCACGAGACTCTCGCTATTCTGGAAGACACCAAACTTTAGAACTCTAGGCAATGAAAGACCTGTTACCCTGTTCCTTATATGATCTTCCTTTTGCAGGCAGCTTGGGGTGGGGGATTACTGATGTCCCAGAAGCACAAATGGAAACTGAGCGGCGTGGAGAGGTACACCCACTTTTCTTGCTAACGATGTAAAGTGTGAAAGCTAATGTGAAAAGCAAGTTACATACAATTTCCAAACACCCTTGAGACACAGGTGAACCCATTCTCTGCAGTGTTTGTGTGCCTTGATCTGTGTGGTCATAGACCCATGAACATTACGTGTAAATAACAAAAAGACATCAAATCCTCTATCCGGTAGCCCAGGCAGAATGTTTCTCAAATAGAGATTCCTAACTGGAGTCCGTGGTTGACCAGAGGGCTCAGCAATGACCTTCCTACAATCTCTGAACCAACTACCCAAATTATTTAAAACCTGTTGACAGGTCATAATTTTCTAGGGAGAAGATCTGTAGCTTTCATATTCCACAAAAGGATAATATCCACTGCTATAAGCAAACCAACAAATAACTTTGTACCTTATAATTTATCAGTGTTGAAAGCATGGGTTTGAGGTTTAATACGGCCAGCTGAAAGCAAGACATACTTGTGAGAACCTCATCTCATGGTTTCATTCCCATGATAACTTTCTTTTTTTACATAGCTCTGATGGATGCAGCAAAGCACCTTTTTTTTCAGTGACTAAGCAGTAGATGGTTGAGAAAAGCCTCCAAACCCAAAGGAGGTGATATTTGATTAGCATAAAACATATTCAGGTCTGAAGAAAAAAGGGGAAAAAAATTATAGAATGCAAAATCAGCCTCGGGCTTTGCTGACTGTGCACAGAGGAAGCTCAGCGTCCCCATTCTCCCATTACACCACGGCAGGTCAACAGCAGAGGTGAGCTCTGATACACCAGGCAACTAACTGAGAAAGCCTGAGTTGGTCTGAGGCTGCCAAGGGCCCACCATGCCCTGCCCAGTAGCCAGATGCTGCCCAGGAAGAGTCTCCCACTGGCTTTGCCTCCAGATATCTTGGCACAGTTTCTGCTCCGGGATGAGGAGTGAGGCCGATGGAGCGTGGGAGCATCTGTCGGCGTTGGCTATGGGGCCAAGCCAAGAAGGATGCCCCCCGGCGTGCTCCGTGATGCCCAGGCCCACTCACACACAGAGAACCCAAGGGGCACGGATCACAGAGGCAGAGTCAGGGGCACACTGCCTCATTTGTGGAAGACTCAAGAGACCCGCTGAGGCCCAAGTCAGCAGGGTAGCCGTCCGTGAGTCTGCCGGCTGGGGTCAGCGGCTGGCGGGTATCGCCGCCCGGGCTCTGATGACAGGTTCCCACTTAGCTCCAGTCCTCTGGGGCTTCTCCCATGCCCAATTCCTTTTTGCCGTGAAGATCTCTATGGAACCAGACGCTTAAGGAGAAGGCAATGCACTATACAGGGAGAGATGATGGGGAAAAAAAAAAAAAGAACAGCTTGGAAGGTGCCTGCTTGGATGATCAGAACAAGAATGAATTCTCGTGCTTTCAAGAGAGAGGCGGCCTGTACACAGTACCTTCTCTTCTTTAGTTTCTTTCTGACTGGCACAAAATGTAAGTGTCTATTATTGTACTTTTAATGCCATCTGGGACTCCGAGTGCCAAAAGCCAGGGAGCGTCCTCTACCAGTGATGACTTAAAAGCTCACTAAATTACCTACCCTGAGCCTTGGAAAAATAAACACCCACACACTTTTGTACTAAAGACTGTTATTTCAGAGCAAAGCTTAGAACATTCACCGTGGAACATAGTCTCCTCCAATTGCCGCAGTTCTGAAACCGTATTGTACCTAAATCTATAAAGTGGAAGAGCCAAAGATGAAGTCCCCAAAAAAGAGGGACTGCCACCTCTGTACCCGAGAGTATCCGTCTTGCTGACTTATTAGCAAAAGGCACATCGTCTTTGGTGAATAAGCTCATAGAGCCAGTGGAAACCCCTGGGCATAATGGGCATGGACATAAGTTTAGGGACAAAAATTTGCCCCACTTGGGGGCACACGTGTTCCCAAGGATTCACTCTAAAACAGAGGAAATCCACGGTCAATTCTTGTCCCCAGATCAAGAGGTTTCCCTGTGGTCACAGGGTCCCCAGAGTGCCCTCTTCACAACAAAATGGCACAAGTCACCAGAGCCTACCTCGCACTCCCTTTGAGTACCTACCAAACTCTCAAAAAGCAGCGTTCTTCTTGCTAACGCTGTCAAATTTTCTAGAGACGGCGTAGCTAAGAGGGTGTGCCCAGAGCCCTAACGCTCCGAAGTACGCTTCTGGGCATTGTAAACTGTCTTCTTTAATCCCTCCCCACAGCAGGCTGCTGTTTGCCTGTAATCTCCCTTTGCGGTCGCCCCCTCTCAAGGCTTTCGGGCCCGGCTGAAGGTCCTGGCCCTGCTTCTGCCATCACTGCCCGCACTCCTGCCCCGAGAGCCGGCGGTTTAGAAATTCAGCTCAGTAGTGACTGAACCTCTGCCATATGCAAGGCGCAGCACCAGGCCCAGTGAGGGCACAAAGACGAATATGGTGTGAAGCCTATTTTCAAAGGGCTTAGAATCTGGTAGGGAAGAGTGGCAGTCAATGATGGGTTAAACTTCAAGGCAGAGAAAGTAAAGGCTCAAGAGACAGACAAGAGAGCTGACTGGCAAGCGCAGAGAAAGGGATGATTCCTGCTAAACGGGGTTATTCACGGAAGCCTTCGCGCGGGGGTGGGCATTGGGGCTGTGTCAGGCGGAAGTGGAAGATGGACATTCAAGGTGAAGAGCAAGGGCATGGAGGTTTGAAAGGGTCCTTGGAGGAAGTCCAGATAAGTTTGGATGGAGACTGAGAGGGACTCACGGCAGTGAGTAGGGAGCTCGTGGAGTATCCACAAGTCCTGCCCGGGGAGTCTCAGTGGAGGGCCTGCCCACAGGACCAAGTCAGGATCAACATAAATCCCTGAGCTGAGAATCCCTGCTCTCAGAGCCATTATTTTGCATGGAGAGCATTATATTTCTCAGATTGGGAGGTGGGGTGAAAGCCCCTGCAGTAGCAGCCATGGGGACGGGGCAGGGGGGCAGTGAGGAGACGAGTCTTATGATCTCACCTGCCCTTTGGAGAGACAGCTCTGGATTTGGGAGGAGATGGAGGCCAGGGACCCAGTAGAAGCCACTGAGCTCTCGAGAATGTCCAGGTGAGGGGTAGCGGTGGTGGCAGAAGCTAAGGGTGAAAACCCGGGTGGTAGCGGCTGGGAGGGAAATAAGTGGATGAACCCAGCCATGTGGCTTCCATGCAACAGGACGAACCACCACAGAGACCTGCTTGTCTACGGGACCACATGTAATTTAAAGAACCAGTGCTTCTGTTGACTTCCCTTGCTTCTGAAACACTTTGTGTATATATATAGATAAGTCGCGCTCTAATTACATGAAGACCACTGTATATTACAGAATGCTTAAACACTCTTTGTATATAACACTTTCTTTTGCCTTATTTTCCAATACTTTAAGAAATTCCACACTCTCTGCCTTGACAGACTTTACAGTCTTATATAATATGTTGAAAAGTACGGGGGACATTTTTTTGTAGATATCTTTGACCAAGCTAGCATTAGCTTGTTGTACTCTAGGAAGCATCTTCCTCAAAAGTTACAAGCACCAAGTACCACAGAATAAAGCACTTCATACAAAGTTTAAAAAAAAAGCTAGAGCTGCAAGGGGTGATATCGGGAGAGCAGAAAGAAGACAATGATACTAACACCTGAGGTTTGAGAGCTAGATGTGCGGGAGGAGGACAGTGTGAGGCACTGAGGCACAGAACACACGTGAAAGAACAGATCTGGAAGGATGAGGAGGGGCACGTTAATGAGTTCATGTGGGGTCTGCTGAGTTTGAGGTACAAGTGAGGGCACAAGGACATATCTTAAAACAGCCCTCAGGGAGTCAGTTTTCTCTAACTTACAATAAATCACAGAAGGTTCATGACTGAACCTCACAGCAAAAGATTTTGAAATGAACCTGAGGCTGTTTTTCATAAATTGCCAACATTTCTCAAACAAACTAAGGGCATGTCATTGAATCACTCTGTGCAGCTTTTTGCCATCTTTATGAGGCAGCCCTTCTGCGAGAGAGGCAGGACAAGGAACTCAGTGACGGGTAGTCGTGGGCCTCGACAGCATCTACTCTAAAAATTTAGACAAGTTGGCCACAGCATTGAAACAAACACCTCCAGTCAGAGAAATGAACAGTTATTCTCTCCTCCATCAAGTGTCATTACCGACAAAGCTGAGTTTCATCAGGATTAGGCATGGAGCTGTAGAATATTCTAGAAGCAGTGTATATGGGCTCAAAGTTCCACAGTGTGTAAATGATAGAATTGAAATCAATAGTAGGAGCCAAACTTGTTTAATGCTTACTGTGTATCAGAAGATGAGCTGGCCTATTTACTGATTCAGATGAGATCCCCAGGCCAGAAAACCTTCTCTGACTGGCCAACTGATGCCCACCACTCATCAGATAGAAGAATGGGATGTTTCCCAGCTTCTCATTTCTTCCCAAGGTTCTTGGGCTTGGGAAGCAACTCGAGTGCTGGGAGCAGGTGAGCCCAAGTCTGTTGTTCAGCCAGAGGAGGGCCAGCGATCTGCAGGACTCTGGAGCCAGCTGCCATGGGTAGCTCTACTTTCCCTCCTCCTGTGAGTCTGTTTATACCAAGGTCACATTCATGATTCTCATCCCCAAGGATCCCTTAGGCTCTCAGAAGACATGCACAGGGGCTCACCTTGCCTGATAAACCCGTGAAGTGAGCGATGGGAACTCACTCATGGAGGGGACACTTGCTTTCCCTGGGAGCCAAAGGAGGAGCCGGTTGGAGCAGTTCAGCGGGAGTGAGAGAGAGAAGTTGAATGAAGTTGAAGAAGTCTGCAGAGAAAATAACACTTGATCTGGGACTTAAAGAATAAGTAAGACTTAGACAAGTGGAGCAAAGAGAGATGACATTCCAGGAAGAAGAAATAACATTAAGAGACCCAGGAGCATGAGAATAGAATTTTCTGAGAATAAAAAATAATCTGGTGTGATGAAAATGGTGTCATGAAAAATGAAAATTGGTATGGGATAGAGCAAGGACATAAGACTGAATACATGGCCTGTGCTTGCCCTTGATGGCATTATTATTATTATTATTATTATTATTACTATTATTATTATAAGAATCTGACCCAGAATTATGGTTTAGACTTTTCAAATAGCATAAATCCCTGACAATATCTATTACTGATGGGAGAGCATTGTATTTCTCAAGTGTGTTGGGACAAAATAGATTGAAAACTGCTATAGGAACCATAGCATATCCCACCTGTGGTATAGAAGGACGTGTCTGGGTCAGAGAAGAGATGAAAATGGGATGAACTAGAAGCTATTATGAAAGGACGGATATGAAAAATGTAATAATCAATTGAAGAGGAAGAAGGAGAGATGGGTGAGAAGAACAAAACTAAGCAGTGAAATAAGCCATCGCTTTACACCCCAGGCCACTATGGTAGTGCCTCCAGGAACAATAGAGGCACGTGAGGACAGCCCCTTCACCTGCTTGGTGCCCTCCTCCTTGGCCGCCAAAGGCGGGATGCTGGACTGGATGATCCCAGTCACTCAAAGGGACTCTCAGATCACATGGAGGCTGGCTGAATTCCTCCATGGAAGCTAAGGGGGAGCCGCATGAAGATGCCCATCCTCGCCTACTCTCTCTGTAGACAAAAAAAGGTTGTAGGTTTAAGAGTCCACGTCTTATGTTGTAAACTTAGTGTCATCCAGGAGTCTGAGAAACAATGCTAAGAACCTCAAAGCTCTGTTGGCCCGGCACAAGACCTTGTAGCCTGAGCCTGTCATAGGTGCCACCCTCTTAACTCCATTTCTTTCCTTTAGGGCCAACTCTGTGACATGGAACCCACACAAGATGATGGGCGTCCCTTTGCAGTGCTCCGCTCTCCTGGTCAGAGAAGAGGTACGTCTTTCCTGATTCATGGCCCAGTCCATCAGTAGAGTTTGGTAGAGTAAATGTGTGTAGTGATGGAATCAGAATGAAGGATGATTCACAGCCTAGAACAGTGAGTCATATCCAAAAAGAAGAAATCGTTCATGAGGATAATTATGAAGTCCTGCTCTTATTTCCATGTAGAGGATGATTCTATTTTGAGTTGACAAGACAAGCATGTTTCTTACATGGCTAAATTATGCGTGTGTGTGTCTGGCTTACTTTATTTAGCATAATGTTTGCAAGGTTCATTTATGTCATAGCGTGTACCAAAATTTCATTCCTTCTGTGGCTGAACAATATTCCATTGTATGAATGTACCACAGTTTGTTTATCCATTCATCCTTCAGTGGACATTTGGGTTAATTCTGCTTTTTGGCTGTTATGAATAGAGCTGCTCTGAGCATTTGTGTACGATTATTTGTTTGACTATCTGTTTTCAAATGAGGGAACTGTTTTCAATGGAGGAATGGAGCTGCTAAATCATATGGTAATTCTATATTTACCTTACTGAGGAACTGCCAAAGTGGCTGAAACATTTTACTGTCCCACCAGCGTGCATGAGAGTTCCAACTTACTCTACATCCTTGCCAACATTTCTAAGAAAACACAGCTAAATTTAGCTCTTAAATTTAGGTCTTTGAACCATTTTGAGTTAATGTTTATGTACGGTGTGAGGTATGAGTTTGCATGCAATATCCAGTTCCCCCACTACCATTTATTGAAGAGACTACTCTTTCTCCATTGAATGGTCTTGGCACCCTTGTTGAAAATCAATTAGCCATAGATATATGGATTTAGCTAAATTGTACTTCTAAAAAAGGCATAGAACATTAGGTTGTAAACTCAGCAGGGTCCACAATGAGTCAAGAGAAACTTAGGATTCATAAAATACCAATGGGTTAAAAAAAAGAGTTTCAGAATGAGGAAGGTCGTAGTCTCCCACTGTCCTCCATGCCTGGAGTGGTTGCTTAGGTCAATGCCAAATTGCATATGGGACCCCAACAAGCTAGGGTTCAAACTGTGGGGAACAATTGGTGAGCATGTGAGAGGGATGGTTGAAATAACTAAGGATGTTTAATTTAAAAAGAAAAAGAAACTTGAAGGGCTGGAGGATGGCAGCCTTCACAGTTTAAGTGACTCTCAAGTGGAAGAGATTCATTTTTTCCTTGCAGCTTCAGGGAACGGGCCCAGTAGCACTGGGTTTGAATCAGAATATGCTATGATTTTAGGTCTGACTTCCGGTCAATGAAAGGAAAACTATTCTAAAAATTAAGCTTCCCCAGAGGTAATGAATCTGGGTAATGAAATAAATTCACTGCCAGGGGAAGTGATTGGAGATTGGACAGCCACTTATTAGTAAGAAGATAGAAAAGATTCCTTCGTTGAGAAGGAGTAAAATAAAAGCTCTAGGATCCCTTCCAAATCCAAGAGTTTATGATACTCTGACGGCATGTCCCTTATTGAGATATAAGGAATAATGCCATTGTATAAGACTGTATTAAGTATTCTGTGATAAGAGAGTTCCGGGTTTAAAAAAATCCTAGGGTATTTTAGATTGAAGAGTTAAAAGGAAGTTTTGTTACTTCAGGGCATATCAGAGCCTTTAATATGCTGATATATATTGCAACTACCTTTGAAGAAGGGATTTATGATGTAGAGTTTCCTAAATTTATTTGACCCTGGGAATTTCTTTTACAGCAACTATTTGAGAGCACAGCAATTATTAGTGTACTTAAAATCGTTGGCCACATAACGGTCTATAACTTTTTAATGGCTTGGAATCAGAGTATTTATTATCTCATCAAGGCCCTTTATGTGAAAAACATGACTTTTATTTATCCTTTTGTATAGTGAGACTGATGCCGGCCAGCCTTTGGGAGGTCCTATGTTTTGAGTTGCTTTTCCTATCCCAGGTCCACTCTATCCACCATTCCAGACTCTGGGGTGATCTCCCTACGACTGTGGCACCTTTTTGTGAGCAAGCTTACATGCCAAGCTTCTGTGACCATGAAACAAAATTGAAGCACCTGTTGCAATTTTCAATCTTATTGGTCTTTGAGTGAATTTTCTTTTTCAAATCCAAAGTCATTCTACTACTCTATTACAGTTATTTAATTTCCCTGAATCTCAATGAATTCAACTGCAAATGAAGCCCAAACTATAGGGTCCAGCTCAGCTTCATTGCCTACCATATGGTCTTTTAGGACCCAGTTAAATTTTAGTTGCATTACAGTTTGCTTTCATTTGATACATTTTTTTTTTAAAGAATTCTCACTTCTAACTTCAACTTGGTGACCACGTTTTAGGCTTCTCTCTTCTCTTGTCATGAGTCACAAGGAAAAAAAAACAACAAATGTCAAAGCTTCTGTAAAATCACAATTATACTGTAGATAATGAAAGAGTCAAAGGCTTCCTGTGGTTCGTGACAAATTGAAACGTGGTGGGGTTTCTGGTGAGGAGACGGACAATGCTGTTTTAGTCAGAGAGCATGATTCATTCACTGTTCTTTGGAATCGTTCAGTCACTTTGCCACCCATTTTCCATACCAAGCTCCTGGTGATGGGGCAAATTAATGATCATTGGCAATGAAATGTCCCAATGAAACAAGCAGCCGAGTATAAAAATGCAGTACTAACCCCTCTTGAAAGGGGAACATGGCATTTGAAAGATTGGTTATTTAAGACCTCTCAGAATAACAATGTCTTTATTGTTTTAGATTTCAGCATATAAAAATAACAATAAACTATCTTAAAAGCTATGACTTCCAAAGAGGACTCAAACCCTAACAGCCAAATGATAAAGTACTTGAACTAAGTATGAATGAAACACTAGAATAATCTCACTATTAGTATTTTACAGAACCAAAGAGTTTCTAAAGTATTTTAATTACAACAAAATTAAAACAGCAGGATGTTCCCTCAAAGAACAAACATTATATTCTGATTATGATTGTTTCTAAAGAAACACATTCTCTTAAAGAGTTAAAGCATATATGCCCCTGTTGTTAACCTGTAGTTACATTTGACCCTGAGCCATTTATCCCACAGAACTGACCTATCCCCACAGCTCATACTGTCCAGATATTGGTCCCATTTTATTTTATTTTTCACTTTTTTAGAGAGAGAGAGTGCACACATATGTACAAGTGCGCAAACAGTGGTAGGGAGGGGCAGAAGGAGAGAATCTTAAGCAGGCTCTATGTGGAGCCCGATGCAGGGCTCGATCTCACGACCCTGAGATCACAACCTGAGCTGAAATCAAGAGTCAGACACTTAACCAACTGAGCCACCCAGGAGCCCCTTGGCCCATCTTAAACATTTGATTCTTCCTGCTTTCTTTCTCCAGGAAATTTGGTGTCCCTTTAAAATTTTTTTTTCTTAATAATTTTCACCACAATGTAAATCTAACAGAGTACTTGATCAAGTCAGTAGAGTTTCCTAAGTTTTCTCTTCTCTTCTAGGGATTGATGCAGAGTTGTAACCAGATGCATGCCTCCTACCTCTTCCAGCAAGATAAACACTACGACCTGTCCTACGACACTGGGGACAAGGCCTTACAGTGCGGACGCCACGTTGATGTTTTCAAATTATGGCTAATGTGGAGGGCAAAGGTGAGCTTGTGTAGATAGGCCGAATGTCAACTAAAGACAGAAACTTTATTTGGTGACCCTTATTATGCGGTTAAAAATGGATTTCCAAATCGAAAATTACCCAGGATTAAGTTTCTTTAATCCCGTGTCTAGATATCTGCCTTCTGCATGGGCAAGGACAGGAGCCAAATTGCTTCTAATGCTCATCCATCTAGAAAACAAACCCAGATTGCATTCTACAGCAGAACATCTGGATTCTTAAGAGGCGTTTTGTTGTTGTTGTTGTTGTTGTCTCTCACTTCTTGGTTTTTACCCAGTGATTGATCCCTTGGGGAAGTTGAAGCCCTCCTTTTGATTGGAGGACAAAACCCACCACGATAGCTTCCTTTTCACATTTCAAGGGATATCGTCTAGTTATAAAGCTTTAAAAAAAAAAAAACCAAACCCTGGAACTACCCAGTGACTTCATTTTGTGAGCTTTCTCTGTTTACCCCAGAATTTAACTACCCTTGATCACTCCACTCAGAAACAGAAACTCTGTAATGGTGCACAGTTTGGGCTTGACTCATTGCCGCCTTCAAAGAGGATACCTGTGTGCTGAAATGTAAGCAGGCTGGAAAGGTCAAAGATTTTCTTTCTCATTTGGATGAGATTCCTAATTTCAATGTTACAAATCAGTGACTTCCCACCAGGTTTCATTTACCTCCCACAGGAGGCAATGGCCAGAGCCAGCTGGACATGCCAGAGACACCCAACTGCTAGAAAACCCACCGCTCAAAGAGTCCATAAGGGAAACTTGATGAAGGAAACAAGAAAGGGCGAGGTTAGAGGGAGGCTGGCATGCCCCGAGGTCCTCCATGTTTGAGGGAGGGGCTGGATTGGGCTGGATGCTTTCTCAGTAGCCCACACAAGTAGGGGGGCCCTCCCATCCCAGGGGACACACAGATAACTTGGTCAGCACGCGTGCAACCTGCCAGGGTGAGATCACAGATTGTGCCTGTGTAAGGAACCATGTCTACAGCAGAAAGTTCCCTATGCCGTGGTTTTGGGGTTTTTTTTATTTAATTTAATTTAATTTTATTATGTTAGTCACCATACAGTACATCATTAGGGTTTTTTTTAGCATTTTTAAAAGATTTTATTTATTCATTGGATAAATAAATACAGAGAGAGACAGAGAGCGTGAGCAGGGGGAGAGGCAGAAGGAGAGGGAGAAGCAGGCTCCCTCCTGAGCCAGGAGCCCGATGCGGTGCTTGATCCCAGGACCCTGGGATGATGACCTGAGCCGAAGGCAGACGCTTAATCATCTGAGCTACCCAGGTGCCCCACATCATTAGTTTTTGATACAGTGTTCCATGATTCATTGCTTGCGTATAACACCCAGTGCTCCATGCAATATGTGCCCTCCTTAATACCCATCACCAGGCTCATCCATCCCCCCACCCCCCTCCCTTCTGTAACCCTCAGTTTGTTTCTTGGAGTCCATAATCTCTCATGGTTCATCTCCCCCTCGGACCTCCCCCCCTTCATTTTTCCCTTCCTTCTCCTAATGTCCTCCATAAGACTTTTCAAAGTCAACTGAATGCCTGAGCAGGAGAGAGGCAGATAGCTAACAAGAAACAGAGGGGGTTTGGGTGTGAAATAATGCAGTCAGCAACTATCTAAAGGAAGTCTCTAAAGATCTATTCAGGAAAAAGGCAGTTTATTTTTTTTTTTTTTACTTTATTTATTTATTTATTTGAGAGAGACAGAGTGAGAGGGAGAAGCAGGCTTCCTGAGGAGGAGGGAGCCCGATGCGGGGCTCGATCCCAGGGCCCTGAGATCATGACCTGAGCTGAAGGCAGACACTTAACTGAGGACACTTAACGAGTGAGCCACCCAGGCGCCCCTCTGAATCTCTTCTAATTGGTACTAAGTATGGAGCGGCTGCCTGGAGTTATTGCCCTAGTAAAAGTGGTGGGATGGGCAGGGGCCCCCTCCTCTCTCAAAAGAGCTTGCACAAGGACACTTACTGGGTCCCCACCACCCAAGATAAGACTCATTCTTTGGAATGAGTCTCATTTGGCAAAAATAAATAAATCAAGAGCAGGAGTTATTGGCGTCCTCTCAAACTGTTTGAAAATGAGTAGGTTTTTCATTTCATTGATTGGTGGGAATCAAAACTGATGAACATGAACATCAGCTAGGCAGTGGAGGAAAACTTGATCTCTAAATATTGCTCAGGATCATCCTTTTTGTCCCCTTTTCCTGTGGTGTTTCTATTACGATGACGATCATTAGCTATATTTACACAAAAGTGTTCCTCTCATGCTTCATCGGTTCCTGCAGCTCCTTTTCCATCTGAAGCCCCCTCGCCAGCATGGGGCAACGGTTGGCTGTAAGAGAAATAACTTGCAGGCCATCAGGTGTGAATGAAACAACAAGAACAACTGAAGCCTGAAATAAGGGCCGAGGAGCTAGACTCTAACGCGCTGAAGTAAAGGCATCAAAAGAGGGAAGAAAAAAAAGAAAAAAAAAAACAAAGAAACAATCCCAGCAGCCGCATAATTTATCCGTAAATTAGGGATGCATATTCCTTTAATTTCTCATGCCAAACTTAAGTATCTAGACACATAAATGGCAAAAAACTTCCATTTGCTTTTCGACTTAAAGCTGCGTGTTTTGCAAAATGAAATGGTAATAACGATCAAAGCCCTAAGCTCAGTCCTACAGTCCGGAGGAGTGGGGAGGGTAGTCACCCTCTTGTGAGAGCTCTCTAGTGATGCCAGCCAGGGAAGAAGTCAGCCTGCCCTCAGAAGAACCGAGAAAGAGCAAGCTATGACATTCCATCTCCTATCCCCTCGGGCATGAGAAAAGGATCTGCAAAAACAATACTGAGGAGGAGGCAGCATTAATCAGTAAACCCGCTGTTATCAGATATGCCTGGAGACTGCAGCATTCAAGTGAATCCACATTTTCTCCTTCGCAATACAAACCACATGAAAATAAGTAACCTAACTATAAATATTCCTTAATCCGTTAATGACTGATGGAGCTAAATGCACTGACAGACAGTCTCCACATTAAGTCCAAGAGAACTTGATGAAAGCAACTATATGCAAAAAAAAAAAAAAAAAAAAAAATGAGCCTCTTGATGTGATGCTGGCAGGCTTTCCGGACAGTAATACCAGACGTAAGCCTGTCAGGAGCAAAGGCCCTGTGCCTGCCCTCAGCTCTGTTCTTAGTGAGGAGATCTTTCATTCTGTCTGTATTTTATTAGAGAATGTTAAATAAGACTTGGTGGTTATTTTCCAGATTTTCCAGATTTCCTCGGTGGGTAAAACTCAGAGTAGATAGAAAAAAACAAAAAGAGAGAAAGGAAGGAAGGAAGAAAGGAAAGAGGGAAGGAAGGAAGGGAGGAAGAAAGAGAAAGAGAAAGGAAGGAAGGAAGGAGGGAGGGGAGGAAGAAAGAGAGGGAGAAAGAGAAAGGAAGAAAGGAAGGAAGGAAAGGGAGGGAGGGGCAGAGGGAGGGAGGAAGGAAGGAAGGGAGGGAGGAAGAGTGGGGGAGGGAGGGAGAGGAAGGAGGGAGGAGAAAGGAAGGGGGAAGGAAAGAAAGAGGGAGGAAGGAAGGGAGAGAGAGAGGGTGGGAGGGAGAGGGAGAGAGACGGGAGAATGAACGAACCTTAATTTTAGGTCTGCAACCATGGCTCAATGTGTAACTACCTAGTTTTCATGGTAAATTTCTCTGTGTATGGTTATGCAAATTAGCAGGTTTCCTTATAGTTTTCTGTGATTGGCCTCCCTCATTAAAAATGTAGATAACAGGGCGCCTGGGTGGCTCAGTTGGTTAAGCGACTGCCTTCGGCTCAGGTCATGATCCCGGGGTCCTGGGATCGAGCCCCGCATCGGGCTCCCTGCTCAGCGGGAAGCCTGCTTCTCCCTCTCCCACTCCCCCTGCTTGTGTTCCCTCTCTGGCTGTGTCTCTCTCTGTCAAATAAATAATCTTTAAAAAAAAAAAAATGTAGGTAACAGAGGGACTGGCAAATGGCTGAGAAAAAAAAAAATACCAGGAGAAAACCATTAAAGGGAAAGTGATACGAGGCATCCTTTGCTGAGTGACTGAATGAATGTTCACTTTCTCTCTAAAATATCAATTTATTTTAATAAGTAGCTAATGAGTATCTGTTATTGTGCCTGATGCTGGGTGGGATGAGGGGGCCACAATTTTCCAGACGAGGTAAGCTAAATGCACAGATAACCATCACACAAGACAGAAAATAACTGGTTGTAAAAGAAACACAGACGCACCTTGAGAAGTTAAAGGATGGAAAGCCTGTTCCTAGTTTGAGAGCCAAAAATGATTTATTAAGGGGTCACCTCGGAAACGGGTCTAGAAGAGGATAGGTACAATATGTAGGATTTCAACCAGCAGAGCTACGTTATTAACGCAATTAACCTGGTGCCGATAGAGATGGTTCCTCAGAACATACTCTGTAAAAACACTGCCCCGGGGATTAAAAGTAGACTTCCATCCACTCATCCATTCAGTCCACAAATGTACATTGAGCACCTAATGTATGGCAGCCCTGCTGGTACGAGCGAGACAGTGGTGAACAAAAGAAACACCAGTGTGTGCCCTTGTGGAGTGTGCATTTCAGCCATGTCAGCCTAAACCAATCCTAAGTGTGTGGGCAATGAGGGAGAAAATAAAACCATCTTTCTCCTGCAGCTCCCTCAGCGTAACTCAGACGCTGGGGTCCAGACTTTGATTTAGGCGCACCGGTCAGAGCCCTCCTCAGCTTCCTTCATAGCAACCCGGGTCATGGTGATGTCACGCCTGATCAAGTTTTCCAGGGTATTCCAGGTATCCTGTTATTCTCAGAGTAACAACTGTGTGGCATAGAACAACTACTCAGAAAGTAATTGATGAATGAGTACATTTTGGAGAATCTCCTAAAAGCCTTCAAAACCTTGAAAATAAAATATGGCTCTTATTCCCATAAATATCCAACATGAAGAGACAGGCTTCTAAGAGCACACTAGAGTTTCCTGTGTCATCCCCACCCCCCCCACCCCCCCGCCCATCCCTTGTACCTCTTTAGCTTACAACTAGGGATGGTCAGGTTACTCCTGATCATCTCAAGTAAAGTCCTAGACCAGCAAAGGCCAGAGGACTCCCCATCCAGTCTGTGATGATCACACTGCCTTTGCAATACAACTCCTTTTCAGAGCATTCATTTTACTTTACCATGTCCCTGTGTGGGAGGGAAATCACACAGACACCACCCTTCCCATGTGATCAGGGAGATTAGCCAAGGCCATGGGGCTGGACAGGCTCAGAGTCCTGCTGGTCCCAGCCATCTCCTGGATCGAGTACGTGCCAGCTTAAAGCCAACTCTGGACCGGTCCAAAGGATCCAGTTTGGAGAACAATGAACTTCTCTCCCTCCCACTTAAGGGCCATCCCCAGTGTACCCAAACTGCCAGGTCAGTCCAAACCAACCCCAAATCCTTGACACCACAAAGTCATAGAGTGCATGGTGTAGGCTCTGGCCCGAGTGTTCAGGCATCAATCAGGGCCCTTCCTTGGGGTCATCAGGAACCAGTCAGACTCTTTGACCAATCAGCTTGGGTGGCAGTCTCCATAGAAATGATTCCTGAGCCCATCAGATTTCTTTAAGGCTTCAGATGTTAAAGTCACTGGCTATGCTGCATCCCCCTTTTAGCTGAAATGATGAGACCATCAGTAGGAGCACGGGCCCATCTTATGTCCATTACAGCTGCTCCCTCCAGTTTCCATGTTGGATTAGTCACGGGTTGGCCTCTTCCAAGTGCTCCTGGAATAAGCGTTAGCTGTTTGTCTAAGCTTTCCATTAGCACTCCAGAAATGCTGAAGGAGTTAGGAGGAAAGCCATTTTGAAAAGTAATGCCCTGGAGTGTCCTGAGGTCCGTTAAACAGCTCCAGTCCACAGCTGTAGCGTTCTTTTTCACAAGTTCTTGGGCTTCCGGAGCTGGAAACTAAAAGACCTCCCTGGTAATGTTTGCCCATTACCAACACATGAGTCATTTATCCCCAGAGGAGAAATCTAATGAGCTTTGCAGAATGACAGGCTAACAAAGCATCTGTGTGCCCCTTAAGATTCATACATTCATTTGTTCAACAAATCTTCATTGAGTACCTACCCTATTTGTTCTATAATGGGGTTACATTGGTGAACAAAAGTGGGATCTGGAAATGGTAAATTTTCATGATGGGCAGGGGCTAAGCTGGCCTGCTGGGGGCTCCCTGATGATGCTGCTTCTCCACAGGAGAAGAACAGCCCAGCCTCCTGTCATTACTGACTTCCATAATTACCCCTCAGAGTGGCAGAGGCAAATTTTCCCCTCGAGTAATCAAAATAATTGCCTACTAGAGAATGGGGCCTCGGGAAGAAGAGGAGTCCGCTGTAGGGAACTGTGATGACATGAAAGGAACTAAAACACCTGAGGGGGGAGCATCAAAGGAGAAATAATCACCAGAAAAGCCTCTGGAAGCACAGTCTTATGCAAGGAAAGTGTGGAGCAGCCCTGAGGTGGAAGTGGCAGAGAAAGCATCAGTCTCCAGAGAGATTAGCCCCACAGAGAGTCCACCCGCCTGATAAGCTTTCTTCTCTTACTCAGGGCACCACTGGGTTTGAAGCACATATTGATAAGTGCTTGGAGCTGGCAGAGTATTTATACAATATCATAAAAAACCGAGAAGGATACGAAATGGTGTTTGACGGAAAGGTACGTATTCTGATCTCTACAATCCCAAAAAGTTTAGTCAGTTCCAGTTCTTACCAGTTCTTATCACGGATTTTTTTTTTTTATGTCAATCATGTACTGTCCAGGTAAAGGGGAGCACTACAAAGGAGAAGCTGGGCTGATGGGGTCACTGTCCTGAGCTGGAGTAAAAAACGCAAACTGACAAAACAATAACTCTATATAATGTGGCGAAAGTCAGGCACTCCAAAAGTGATTATGGATTTAAAATAGGAATTCTATTCGGAAGCTGCAGAATAGGTTTGAAATGTCCTTGGAATTTTCTAAATGGCCACGATGGGCCGAGTGTGAATCTTACTTTCCTCCTTATAGCCTCAGCACACAAATGTCTGTTTCTGGTACGTGCCCCCGAGTCTGCGTGTCCTGGAGGACAATGAAGAGAGAATGAGCCGCCTCTCAAAGGTAAGTGATACAGGCTTCTCTGGTCCGGACATCAGCGCGTCTAGTGGGCCTTGCACATGCATGGCGTCTCTCTAGAGAGGAGAAATCCAACCTTGACCTTGGTGCACAGGCCCACTCCCCTTCATGGGCTCCTACAGAACCAGGCCATTCAGACCTGGTATAGCCAGACTTTTGACTACTCTGTTTGCTTCTTTTTTCCTGAGAGCAAGTTTATGATATCTTAAAATAAGCAATCAGGTGACAGCTTTACTGTCATTCACAAATCATACATTATATGTTAAAAAAAAAAAAAGAAGAAGATAGCAAGAGGGGAAGAATGAAGGGGGGGAAATTGGAGCGGGAGACGAACCATGAGAGACTATGGACTCTGAGAAACAAACTGAGGGTTCTAGAGGGGAGGGGGGTGGGGGGATGGGTTAGCCTGGTGATGGGTATTAAGGAGGGCACATACTGCATGGAGCGTTGGGTGTTATACGCAAACAATGAATCATGGAACACTACATCAAAAACTAATGATGTAATGTGTGGTGATTAACATAACATAATAAAATAAAATTTTAAAAAATATATAAGGGCAAAAAAAAAAAAAGAACCCTTGGTGAAGTTGGCTGACCTGCCCAGCAAAACTGTTAAAAACACAGAAGAGATTCCAGGCACCAGCAATGGTTAGAAATCAGAGCTGCTACTGACCCTCTTGAGATGCCAAGGTCAAGGCTACCCTGTGGAGTCTTTAGAGCTATGGTGAACCCCAGAAGGGCCCGGGGGCAGGGAACAATACTAATGGCCACTGTGTAGAGTGCATGTTGTGTCCCAGGCTCAACTGTGATCTAGCATTAAATCACTCAATTATCATAAGTGTTAGAAAGGACTGAAGAAGACAATTTAGGTGACACAAACAAACTTCATTTAACACTTCATGAAGCAGGCAGCCTCCATTCCCAGGGGTCCAGAGAACTGCAAAATGGGGTGGAATGCAAGAAGCTTTTATAGGATGAAGAATAAGGAACAGGAAGAGAAAGATAGAAAATGAATAAGGAGGGGCACCTGGGTGGCTCAGTCGGTTAAACGTCCAACTCTTGATTTTGGCTTAGGTCATGATTTCAGGGTCGTGAGATGGAGCTGCGCGTCAGGCTCTGTGTTGGGCATGGAACAAGCTTGAGATTCTCTTTCCCTCTCCCTCTGCCCACCCTCCCCGTTTGTGTGCATGCATGCACGCGCTCATGCACCCTCTCTCTCTCTCTCTAAAAAAAAAAAAAGGAAAAGAAAAAGAAAATGAGTAAGGAACAACAAAATAAGTATAGAGCCCAGGGTTGGCTTGGCGTTGGGGATTTCCTGACTGGATATTCCATGTTTCTGGTTAAACAGAGCATTTGCAGGGTTATGCAAGTTAAGTGTCCATTTCCTGATGTGACATCTGGGCAGAAGCAGCCCCATCATGGGCCTAGAAATTTACTTCAGTCTAAGCAAACTAATCTGGGAAGCACTGCTGTCTCCCCATTTTGCTGAGGGGGAAACTGAAGCACAGAGAGGAAAAAAAAAAATCACTTTCCCAAAATCACTGACTCCAGAGCTGGAGGGCTTGAACTTCAGATTCTTCTGTGGCCAGTAAGATATCCTTTATCTTTTTTCCTCTCCTGCTCCCATCACTTACACATGGGTGAGATTCGGTTGATAATGTACCCCAAAGAGAATCTTGAAGGGAGGTAATTGTGGAGCCCCATCTCAGTGTTGAGGAATGGGAAACTAGGGTTGATTGTGTGTATTTGGATCTCAGAGCCTGGGTTAGTTGGTTGGTTGGTTTTCCATTTACCACAAAGGAGGGGACTTCTTCCAGTTGCTGTCAGGAACAGGGGAGGCCCTCTCCCCCACTGCGAAGGAGCCTGGGCTGCCTCACTGACCTTTCAGAATATTTTATTTCCTTCTATGTCAAACAACAGGATTTTTTGTGGTTTAAAACCTCCAGGAAGGCTTATAAATGTGAATACCTGCCAGTAGACAATCCAGGATCAAACCTTCATCAGGAAGAAACTGACACATAGTTGAGGAGTTTAAGTGAAGCCTCCTAATTAGAGTAGTGGTTTGCAATCCTGGCCACACATTAGAATCAGCCTGAAGCTTTATAGAAAACACTGATGACCAGGTCTTAACCCTGAGAATTTATTTTTTTTAAAAAGATTTTATTTATTTATTTGAGAGAGAGAGAATGAGAGAGAGCGAGTACATGAGAGGGGGGAGGGTCAGAGGGAGAAGCAGACTCCCTGCTGACAGCAGGGAGCCCGATGCGGGACTCGATCCCGGGACTCCAGGATCATGACCTGAGCCGAAGGCAGTCGCTTAACCAACTGAGCCACCCAGGCGCCCCAACCCTGAGAATTTAATCCAGTTGGTTTGGGATGGGCTTGGGAATGGTTCTAAAAGTTCTCCAGGTGATCCCAATGTGCAGCCCAGGCTCAGAGCCACTGACCTAGAGGAATGCATGGAAGAAAGCTTCTAGAATGGGAATCCATCAGTGCATGTGTCTGAGTAGGATGGGTCATGGTCATGTTTGAAGTTTTAATGAAGTGGGCTCATTTGCTCATTCCAAGAAATCAAGCCCAAGAGATAGGAGGGAGGCAGGATGAGGGTCACATTGGAAAAGATGATAGGGAGGCAAAAAGGGGCCTGTTATCGTTTGAGAAGAAAGAATTCATATTTTTTCCTGATGTTTTATGGTGTGGCTTCTCCGCAGTATGTATCATCTTACCAATAACTAATTTTATTTAACAAGTTAGTTAGAAATTAGATGTTTCCATTCTCATTGGCTCTACCTCTTTAATGAATCCATTGATCAGACAGAATCCATGGGGTAATTTGACTGATTTCATTTGTTGAATCAATTCATTATTGCTGGGCTGAGGGATGGGGCAAGATGGGAAAACAGAACAGAAAGCGGTTTTTCCCATCACTTTCTGAGCAAAAATCAATTCTGAGGGGTGCCTGGGGGCTCAGTTGTTAAGCGTCTGCCTTCGGCTCAGGTCATGATCCCAAGACCCTGGGATTGAGCCCTGAATTGGGCTCCCTGCTCAGCGGGAAGCCTGCTTCTCCCTCTCCCACTCCCCCTGCTTGTATTCCTTCTTTCGCCGTCTCTCTCTCTCTGTCAAATAAATAAATAAAATCTTTAAAAAAAATCAATTCTGAATTCCCCCCATTTCAATACAGCTCTCTTCAGATGCCTCAGGTTTTGGCAAATCACATAAACTGTGATGGGAATGGAGATTATTTCTTGGGGAGAGCCATGAGAATATTAGTCAACTATTTTTATACTGTTGGTAATTCAAATTTGAATTAGGTCTGGGGATTGCAAAATGAGTTCTCTTAATTTTTTCCTCTCCTGTGATTCCATTTTCCTGACTAGAAGATAGAGAATTCAGCAAGTCAGAGTTGGAATTCTGATTCAGTAGAACCACATAAAATATCAAGGTTAACTTTTGTTTATTTATGTCAATAATTTTTCAGTGTTTCAGAAAAGTTTCTTCTTAAATATAAATCCCTTAAAGTATAATGTCCAGGGACCAGTAAATCTTCACATGCTCAAACACACACATGCACACAATCCCAGAGGGAAAACAGCGGAGGTAAAATAAAATAGATCATTTGCTCTATCCAGTATGGTATCAATAGCCGCATAGGGCATTTAAATTTAAATCAATCAAAATTAAATTCAACCAGAAATTCACTTCTTCAGTTACACTGGCCACATTTCAAGGGCTCAACTTGTGATCAGTGGTTATTGTATCAGATAGTGGAGATATAACACATCTCTATCACTACATAAAATTCTCTTGTCAGTGCTGACATAGACCCAAAATGGGAGGAAATGTGGAGACTTCCATGTGGCATGTGGCAAACGAGAATTAAGTTAAATTCTGGACCCTCCAAGGAAGAATTACTCTTTGTGCCCTCTTGTCTTGGTACAAGGCTTAGCATACAGTAAGGCACTCAACAACGTTTGCTGAGCTAAAGTGCCATTTACACATTCCAGAACAGGGAGCAGAAACGATATTTAGGAAACCTACTAGTGGATCATAGGTCTTTCTCCAGAGCTCACAGTGACATGGGGACAGATATCTAGGCAACAGGTGGTTATTATGAAACAAGCAGAGTCAACAACTTCATGAGGGAGGCTGAGAATCAGGTTGGAGTATTTCCTGCTGCCTGATCAGGACTGTGAATGTGCAGGTGGCCCATCATCACTGAGGCACAGTGGACACAGAAGGCCTGGGGCGCCACACGACCACAGGCAAATGCCTTAGACACAGGCAGGACAAGCAGTTGGAGTCCATGAGGGCATTCATCAGACAAGAATCCTGGTTCTTCATCATCACCTTCATCTTGTGTTTTATTGCATTGTATGTGATCATTATCTGCGTATCTCATCCTGACTTCTACCAGTCTATGATTGATGGACTTCCAAAAGGTCAACAGTGGATTGAAAAGTACATTGGTAAGGAAGTACATTGGCCTCATATTTAAGGTGACACTCTTCCAAAGTCTACGTTGTTAAATGTAACAAGGAATTTAATTGGTGAAATTTTAAAGTGTTAGGATTCCTATTTGTTGTTATTCTGCTTTTTCATTTTTCCAAAAATTTCACTCACGTTTCCAAGATTTTGAAACAAAAAGATTTTGTGATACATAATGAAAAAATACATTTCTGTGATTCTGTGATGCTTTAACCTGAGCTCTCTTGGGAGAAATAAATGTGGTTTCAAATTATGGGATAGTTCCCTGGTTATTGTTTTCTAAGGGATTGAAAAAGCTAATGACACAAGGGAGAAAATGACACCCTAAAACTTATAAGGCAGCACCAAGAGCTCCTGCTGAGGTCTTTAGTGAAATCTTCAACAGGCAGCCTCTCTTTCCTGACTCTCTTTATTCAACAAAACCAAGAATGAGATCAAAAGACAACATCTAGAAATAAGTGAAAATGCTATATATTCATCAGAAGAGTCAGAATCTTATTTTCCTTCTGAACTTGCAATTAGTGATTATGCAATGAAGTAGATGTTCCATGTTTCTGCTAATTTTAGTTCATCCACATTTTCTGGAAGCAACCAAAAGTCATATGTATTTAGACAAAAGTCATATGATTTCTCCAACCCAGCTAGCTTCAGTAACTGCGAGGAATCGATCTGACTTTATACCAAAACCTGTTTGGGATGATGTCTGTTACCATTTAATTTAACTTCTGATTAATTTGATTTAACTTCTGATTTGATTTCACTTCTCTGAAAAGTTAGAGATGATTGTCTTTAATAATAAATACCATCTCTATGTGGTTTTGCTGGGATTGCCCATGAAAATGAAATCAGAGTTTAATTCACTGAGTAAAGCATTATCATTGTTTTGTCAGTTCTAAAGAGCAAGCATGATTTATTACACAAATAAAAATTAAGGAATAGTTATGTGATTCTTCCTAAAATTCCACAGACACATGGATTTGGAATTCCTTTTCTATTTTGGGATTTCTCTTCCCAGGAACACATTGATTTGCCATGTCTCACAGCACAAAGTGATAAATTTCATGTCCTTATGCTAGAATATTCTACTAGATCCACTTTCAGAACTTAACCCCAGAGTTGAGATATTCAAATTCTTTTTCATACTTATTCCCTGGGATGAGCCCGATGCTCTATGTACATCCTTAATCCTTCAGGGGAAAAAAAGAAACATTCCTCTTTATATTATCTTCCTGTGTAATAAAAAAGAGGCTGAAAGAGACTTAAGAACACGTTAACCTAGAATCAGAAAATCCCAGCGCTGGAATCATCAAGCACATTCATGTTTAGATGAGGCAATTAGGTTTAGGATGTGAGGTGAGGGTGACATGAAAGTGAAGATGAACTCTGTCCTTGGTTTTCTCTTTGGTAACTAATAAATAATTGGGCCTGATAGGAAATATGTCGATTTTACACATTGAGTACTTTGTTTGGGGTTTTTTTACATTCACTTAGCTTTCTTTTTTAAATTTTAAATTCCAGTATAGTTAGCATACAGTGTTATATTAGTTTCAGGTATACAATATAGTGATTCAACACTTGCATACATTCCTTGGTGCTCATCACAACAAGTGCCCTCCTTAATCCCCATCACCCATTTCTCCCATTCCCCCACCCCTCCCCTCTGGTAAACATCAGTTTGTTCTCTATAGTTAAGAATCTGTTTCTTGGTTTCTCTCTCTCTCTTTTTTCCCTTGATCAATTTAAAAAAGAAAACCATTGTTTTGTTTTTTTAAATTCCACATATGAGTAAAATCATACGGTATTTGTCTTTCTCTGACTTATTTCTCTTAGCATAATACTCTCTAGCTCCATCCATGTTGTTGCAAATGGCAAGATTTCATTCTTTTTTATTCCCTTGTGTGTGTGGATACACACACACACACACACACACATATATGTATACCACCTTTTCTTTATCCATTCATCAATCAAAGGACACTTGGGCTGTTTCCATAATTTGTCTATTATAAATAATGCTGCTATAAAAATAGCAGTGCATGTATCCCTTTGGATTAGTGTTTTTATATTTTGGGGGTAAATACCTACTAGTGCAATTACTGGATCATAAAGTAGTTCTATTGTTAACTTTTTGAGGACCTTCCATACTGTTTTCCACAGTGGTTGCACCAGTTTGCATTCCCAACAAGAGTGTAAGAGGGTCCGTTTCTCCACATCCTCACCAACACCTGTTGTTTCTTATATTTTTTATTTTAGCCACTCTGACGGGTGGGAGATGAAATCTCATTGTAGTTTTGATTTGCATGTCCCTGATGATGAGTGATGTTGAGCATCTTTTCATGTGTCTATTGGCCATCTGATGTCTTCTTTGGAGAAATGTCTTTTGCCCATTTTTTAATTGGATTTTTTGTTTTTGGGGTGTTGAATTTTATAAGTTATTTATAGGTTTTTGGATAGTAACACTTTATCAGATATGTCATTTTCACAATGAGTACTGTGAAGATGAAAATCTCATTGTAAACAAATGATTATTTAAGTGTTGATGTTCAAAAGTTGCATGTTCATAACAGCATTCCATCTGAATCAAACTATTCTTCATTAAAATGAATCCAACTATGATGTAAGGTATAGTCCCCATTTTGAACTGAGTTACTTACTATGTATATCTAAATAAGTCTAAAGCTCCCTGACATCAACCATTCCTGGTTACATATTTGCAGCAATGAACTTAAATGATCAGATGTTATATTTACAGACTCTAATGGTAAAATACATGAACAGGATCATACACACGGTTAGACCTAAGTTAAATGTGTTCCTCTTCCTAGATAGCTATCCCTATTATTCTACTCTTTATTTAATTTAATAAGGACTTGGGGAGCCCTCAATGTGCACACACAGTTGTGCTTATAAACAAAAGAAGTAAAATACACTGTGCCCTTCAGAGCTTACGGTTTTAAAATTACAGAGATGAAATGTATTTTATTATAAGTAATAGGACAATAGGAAAGTTTCTGCAGACAGACTCTATGGGTAAGGATCATGTATTTATCACTTAAAAGGAGAAAGAAGCTACTGGACTAGAGCAGTCAAGAAAAGCTTCATCATGGTTGTAGGTCTGTGGTGGAGTCTTGGGGTCTGTATAGGATATGTCTTGGAAGAGAAAGGGAACTTGGAGCCAAGACAACAAGTGTGACACAGAAGACTGAGGACAAGTGTGAAGGGAGAAAAATATATGTGGCAGAGTTGAAGATTAGTTTTAGCGAGCACTGGAAGATAAGTCCTCAGAGCTGGGGGACAAAATAGCTTTGTGCTGAGCTCGAGAGTTTGAACTTCATCTCATACACAGTCATCAGAGAACTACTGACGCTGTAATCATCCTGGCATACATGTGGTAAAATCTCACCTGAGAGTCACCTCTGTAATGTTAAGTGTTTGTGGGCTCTCCTTTTGGCCTCAGCTGATTTTCATCATGATTAAGGAATGCATTTCAAAAAATCTTATAAACTGAGATAATGCAAAAGGAGAATGAAAAGAAACTGGAAAGCTTTAGGGTCTCAAGAAAGAAAAGGGCTTTAAAGGCTCAAAAGTCTGCTTATTTTCAGACATCACTTGATATTGAGGCTTACCTCTTGGTAACCATTCTCTGAGCTATGTTCTATTTCCGGTGTTTTTATATCTACTGAGGGAAAAACAAAAAGCCCTCCCCCAAATGGTGTATTGCTAAACTATTTAGCCTTGGAACCAACACCGAATTCTTCCCATTCTCCCAAAACCATAACTGCAAGTTGTTAAATAACAAAAACTCAACTGAGGTATAGTTTAAAAATCTAATTGGCTTTAGGCATCATCCCATCTAGGAAGTAGAGGGGAGCTCCAAGGGGCTATAGAAAGGGAGAGGTTTTTAAAGGCAGGACAAGGAAGTCACAAACAGAAAAGAGAATTATTTTGGGTGAGCTCACCTTTCTTTGGGGAAAAGGGTCTTATTAGGTGATTACCTCATGTTTCTTTGGGGGATGGGAAGGGGCCATGTGACTGAGTACCATTTTGATGCTGACCAGAAGATTCCTGACAGCTAAGACTATGTTCTTGGAAGAAATTGAAAGTGCAATTAGGTTAGGTATGAAGCCCAGGGTTGGTGACGTGGCCTACTGTGACTCCATTTGGGGTCTGCAGTTTTCTTTTTCACAAAGTCAAGGATGAGGGAGCAAACAACTGAGAGCCTATCACTTATTATTCATCTTATCACCTTCAAGAATTTGGATGTATTAAACTGCTCTAGTGCTCTGATCCCGAAAAAACTTGGAGAAAATTTCTTTAAGGGAAACAAATATGAGTCTGGTTGTTTAATTAAAAACTAAAAATGCTACTTGATATTGGGTTCTTTTACTAGAGGAAGGGTCCCCAGGGGTCACCATGTGGCTCTGATCTCTCCCACAGGTGGCTCCAGTGATTAAAGCCAGAATGATGGAGTATGGGACCACAATGGTCAGCTACCAGCCCTTGGGAGACAAGGTCAATTTCTTCCGCATGGTCATCTCAAATCCCGCAGCAACTCACCAAGATATTGACTTCCTGATTGAAGAAATAGAACGCCTTGGACAAGATTTATAATAACATAGCTCACTAAGCTGTTTCAATTCTCTAGGTAGACAATTAAGTTGTCACAAACTGTGTGAATGTATTTGTAGTTTGTTCCAAAGTAAATCTATTTCTATATTGTGATGTCAAAGTAGAGTACAGTTTAAAAATCCAAAAAACATTGCTCCTTTTAAAAATCCTTTCCTAAGTTTAGAATACCTCTCTAAAAATTAGTGACAAAAGGCTGTGTTCTAATCAATAATGAAAAGCTTAAAATTGTTATAAATACTTCCCTTACTTTTAATATAGTATGCAAATCAAGCTTTATTTTCACTTCAGAGTAGTACGATTGAATAGTGCCAAATTGCCCCTGAATCCAAAAAGGTTCTTTGGGGCACAGTCCAAAGGAGAAAGTACATATAAAATGTATGTTGACAATAAAAATTCTTGCCTTTTTCATAGTATTAGAAAAAAAATTTCTAATTTACCTATAGCAACATTTCAAATGTATTTAAATACATATAATTTTACAAAAGGAAAATATATATATTAAAAAGAAATCCTATTTTGTAACATATAGATTTTTATTTTATATGGGTTATACAAACTGCAGGGTCAGATATAAAAATTAAGCCAGATTTTTTTTTCTCTTTCTTTTAATGGAGGCACAATAAAACACTGAGCAAAGTTATTTTGAAACATAGGCCCACAAAATTCTTAAAAGGTATAATGCCTTCTTTCTATTCATGTGACGGTTTATCATATCTCTAAAGTTAGTATTACAAAACAAACACAAAAGAATATTGCAAGTTCTTTAAAATGACTGACCAGATCGACAATAAGATTCTCTTCCCCGCTGAGTTTTCCGCCCAGTTGACCCTGAGCAGACCCCCTCAGTAAGCACGGTAAGCCAAGCTTCATCTTAGACTAAAACTAGGGTAATTGTACTCTGCTTTCCAGTTCAGCTTGTTTTGAACAGAAGGTGGATGCTCATTCTGGAAGCATCTTCCCAAAGAGTATTCTTTTATTAGGTCATTTGGATTAATTAGAGAAAATAAAAATAAAATCTAATCAGCCTGAGCAAAAAGGAATGAAGCACACTCCAGAAGGTGGTGATCCCAGAAAATTAAACTTGGCCTTGAGAGAAGAGATCTTTGCGTGAACAATGATGTCCTCCTGGGCACCATATTGTCACTGTCCAGGAAGGAGTCATTTACCTCCTGGGTAATTGCTTATTCCCATTCTTTCCCCTCTCCTACACACAAAAGTTCCCATCACTGGAATCCCAAATAATTAATTTCTATCCCATGGGTGGTTATTTTCCTCTCATGAAGTGAGCTCTTCACCTGAGATTTTGAGACAGCATCTTAAGACTTATCTGCCTCTTGTCAAGACTGAAAGTGACCAGGGGCACCTGGGTGGCTCAGTCGTTAAGATTGAAAGTGACCAGAGTATGCAGAGATAGGAAGATCCTTAGAATTCAGGATAATATTTTAAAGAATTCTTCTTCCCCTACAAACCTGATGGAGAAGTCTGAACTAACAAGAGCTCCCATAGATATTTGTGGGGCCACAGTTTGTTGGATTCCAAGTACTAGTATGATGACTACAGACTGATCTAGGCAGATTGCAGATACAAACTTAGAACATTCATCCTTTCTATATGTATCTTAGAAAGACTACAGGTATACAAAAGAAGAAAGAAAGAAATGCCCTATAATATAACCGTAAGATCCCACCATCTGAAATCTGCATGAGCTTGCCCCTACATTCTTTCTCCCACATTATATCCAAAAACATTGATACTTGAAATGAACATAGGTTTGGGTCCTTCCTGTCTAGGAAGCAAATGGGTTCCCTATGATGATTAGGAGAAAACTTTTATCTGTACCCCAGAATTTCATGAAGGAATAAACCTCCCATTCTAGGCTATGTCTAATGGCCAAGCATCCCTTTCCCTTCTAGAAATGGGCCATTGAGACTAAGCACATAGCTGCCCATCTATCTTGAGACTCAGGCCAAAAGGTCCTACCTCAGAGGCAGAGACACTAACTGTCAAACCCACTGTCCTGCTTGGAGAAGACAGTGGAACCCAGGGCCCTGACCTGGACAGACCCCTCTCAACTGCAGGATGCTTATACCTTGCAGTACGATCCTCTATCAGAAGCTGCTGCTTTTTAACTTGATGGTATGATGGAATTAAAAGGAGAAGCATTTGTGTCTGTGTATGAAATTCCAGCAAAATAATTTTTACAAATAGGTTGTTGCCCCCACTCCCTGCCCCTTCCAGATCCTTCCCCAAGTTGTCTGGGAGTCTTGCTCAATCAGTGAAATCCCTGCCAACCAAAACCCAGGAAAGGGGGTAAATAAAAGCTTAATAGGTCCCAGTATTCTAATAAAATATTCTTTAAAGTAGGTCTGTAATCTACTTGGGAGAGAGGGAGGGAGGGAGGAAGGTGGTTTTGAACATTAGCTCAAATTCCCAGTGCCAAAGGCCTTTATGTGGGACCATCCTTTCCAAATTTAAGAAAAGTCTGGGGTTAACTTAATCAGAATTGACATGGCCATTTTCATTAATTCAGCAATATTGTGTTTATTATTTTTAAATACTTGAAAAAAAGGTGTGGTATGTCTTTATCTGAGACACATAAATGGCATTGACTTCGTGTACTATCACAAGGCTGTGAAGAAAGCAAAGGAAATCAATTGTGTGTATAAATTGTGTTGCTTTCATTATATTGATAGTACTCTCTCGTCACCTCAGATTGGGGTTGTGCACTTTAGCTCTGAACTGTACAGTGTTGCAAATCAACATATGTTGCTGTAAAAGCTTGTACAACATATTATTGACATGTCTTTTTCTGTGTGGTAGCTGTATCAATATTACAAGAACAACATCGGCATCTGTTCCTGTGTGCTTTCTCTCTCCCTCTCTCTGCTAAACTGTACGCCCTCCACATCTGCTCTAATAGAGAACATGCTCTCAGCTAAGCTCTCTACCGAGAAATCTCCTTTGAGAACTGTGTGATTGCACAAAAATGCAAGGTGAATGCCGCTCATGTCTGAGAATAGAGGAGACCCATATGGAGTGTCACAAACTGCCCAAATTGCAGGTTTTGTCCCCACTGGGGTTTGGAGTAGGAGCTATTCCTCAGAACGTGGACAAAGAAAGCACAGGTGTAAATATAGCAGCAGGACAGGGAATCAAGGACCCTCATGGTGGGTATCATCTTGCACGTGCTCTCCTGTTTTCAGATGCTACGTACAAACACTGTGTATTTATTAGTTTCGTGCTCCAAAATACTGTTCCCAACTGGTGTTTCTGAAAGACATCAACATCTCTCCAACATTACGCCATTTACTAAAGACAGAAAAAAATAAAAAATATAAACACGTGGCAACATGTTCTTCTTACCAAATATAAACTTGTGTATGATCAAAGTATTTTATCTGTGTTGTCTCTCTAAACCCAAATAAATGTGTAAATGTGGACATGCCTCGGGCTCTGCTTGCTTATTTCTGACTTTGCCTTGTTGTGGAGCTCATTTTTAACAAGTTGCCTGAATACAAGGCCCTTGTCTTGTCACAGAGCTCAGAGTGTCTTTGGGTCTTTGTTGGGGAAAAAGAGCTCTTACTTCTGCTGCCACTCTTACTGTCACTTCTGAAGGATATTGTTTTACCACACGTGCTTCAATTCTGCAAGCAGATCCAGTCTTTTTTTTTAGAAAACATTTTATTATGGAAAATTTCACATACATACAAAAGTGGAGAAAATAGTATAATAAATTCCCGTGAAGTTTTCACCCAGCTTCAACATTTACTGATTCAGAGACTGAATCTCATTTCACCATTCCCCGACCCCATGTCCTCCCTAACACCAAATTATTTTTATATGAATCTGAAAAGATAAGGGCTCCTATAAACAAAAAGAGAAAAGTCCTCAATATGATTATCACAGCTAAAACAATAATAATGTCATAATAGTGACAAATATTAAGTTAATGTTCTCATTTCCCTGGGTCTCACTTTGATAGCAAAATCCATAGCCCATGGCCTGTGGCCCAGGAAAGCCAAAGAGGCCCACAGAACTTTCAGGAGAGCTGGGACACGGATAATTCAGGTGCACCATCCAATGCTGTATACACATGGGCTATGTGTAGGCTGTTGTATATTATCGGTTATTTCTGCACCTCTGTGGGTTCTGAATTTTGGAGCGATCATGTTCAGGGGCTTTTCTCCCATGCTCTTATGGATTAAGAGGGGTGAGCAGGTTAAATGCTAGCAAGCCATGGGAATTTAATTGCTGGAATATATCCTGATGTGCCTTATCAAGTCCAGGCTGCCCCTATGGGCTCGAGATACCCTTAAAGGTATTAATCTAGAGTAAACAGATACTACTTCAAGCAGATGCGGGGCTGGGGGAGGACATAAAGGGGAGGAGGAGACAAGGTTTCTAGTTAATTTCAATATTGCTTCTAGGGGAACCAATAGACAACAGCCAAATAAAGAGGCAACGCCTTGTGCATTCCTGCCTTTGTTCACATTATTCCCTCAGCCTGGGAAGAATCTCCCATTCTTCCTTGCTCTAGGGAGCAATATCTCATGGATAGTGTTACAACAGCCTTCTTCATGAGGTTTTTATAGGGGTTAAATAAAATGTATGTACAGCACTTAGCATGGTGCTTTGCGTCCAAAAAGCTTTCAACAATCTTGTTCTTGTTTGTGATGCTGGTAATTATATATGACGTCTACCACTCAGCTTTGTCCCCCTCCTCTGAATTCCCAAACTACTTGCTCTTGGTCAGTAGTGTTCACGGGCACTTATCTAACAAGTTCAGATCATAAGGAGAGTGTTTCTTATCTTTCTGTCCCCACTGCAGCAACACACACACCCCTGACAAAATTCTGCCGTCTCCACTGGTGTCCTACAAGTAGAAGGCACTCCATCCATACTGTCACTGGATCTTCCCCTGGTGTGTGATGTGATTCTAGGCAAGACAACATCTTCAGCCAAGAAATGGGGGGGCGGGAGGAGGTGGCTACTTGATCTCCAAGGAAGAATGTAGGTGGTTTAAGATTACAGGTTTATACTGCTGAATGGGAAAAGATATTTGCAAATGATATATATGATAAATATCCAAAATAAAAGAACTTATACAATCCAAAACCAAGAAAATCAAATAATCTGATTAAAAATAGGCAGAGGACCTGAATAGACAATTTTCCAAAGAAGACATACAGATGACCAACAGGCATCTGAAAAGGTGCTCAGTATCACTCATCATCTGAGAAATACAAATCAAAACCATAATGACATATCATCTTACATGCATAAAAATAGCTAGAATAAAAAAGATAAAGGTTCCTTGGAGGTTCTTCAAAATATTTTTTTAAGATTTTATTTATTTATTTGATAGAGAAGAGAGAGCACAAGCAGGAGGAGCAGCAGAGGGAGAGGGAGAAACAGACTCCCCACTGAGCAGGGACCCCAATGCGGGGCTCGATCCCAGAACTCTGAGATCATGACATGAGCCGAAGGCAGACGCTTAACTGACTGAGCCACCCAGGTGCCCCCAAATATTTTGTTTTAAAGAAATACCATATGATCCAGTAATTTCACTTCTGGGTATTTACCAAAGAAAACAAAACACTAATGTGAAAAGATACATGTTTATAGCAGCATTGTTTACAACAGCCAAGATATGGAAGCAACCCAAATGTCCATCCAGAGATGAATGGATAGATATGGTATATATGTGGATAGATACAGATGTGGTATATATATAGAATAGATAAAGACACACACACAGTGGAATACTACTCAGCCATTAAAAAGTATGAGATTTTGTCATTTGCAACAACATGGATGGACCTGGAGAGTATTACGCTAAAAGAAATATGTCAGACAAATACTATATGAGAAGACAAATACTATATGATTTTACTTATATGTGGAATCTAAAAAAACAAAATAAATGAATAAACACAAACATAAAGCAGAAACAGACCCACAAATACAGAGAACAAACTGATGGTTGCCAGAGGAAAAGAGGGTAGGAGATGGGCAAACTGGGTGAAAGGGAGGGGGAGATACAGACTTCCAGTTATAAAATGAATAGGACTTGGGAATAATAGGTAAAGCACAAGGAATATAGTCAGTAATATTGTAATAACTCTGTATAGTGACAGATGGGCTATATGTGGTGAGCATAGCATAACATATAAACTTGTCGAATCACTATGTTTTACACCTGAAACTAATGTAACATTGTGTGTCAACTATACTTCAATTTAAAAAAATAAATAAGTAGTGGGTGCCTGGCTGGCTCTTGATCTCAGGGATTGTGAGTTCAAGCCCCACCACTGGGCAGGGATCCTACTTAAAAAGTTAAAAAAAAATTAAATAAATAATAAATAAAATAAAAGGACTAAGTAAAAAAAAAGATTACAGGTTTATAAAGGCCCTTAGGAAGCATTAATTAATTCAGCTAACTTTTATTGAGGAGCTTCCATATGCCAGATGCTTTCATATATATTTTTTTTTTTTTAAAGAATTATTTATTTATTTGAGAGAGAGAGCATGAGCCAGGGGAGGGACCGAGGGAGAGGGAGAGAGAAACCCAAGCAGACTCTGCACTGAACACAGAGCTGGACGCAGGGCCCAGCCTCACCACCCCGAGATCGTGACCTGAGCCAAAACCAAGAATTGGACGTTCAACCGACTGCACCACCCAAGTGCCCCTGGATGCTTGCATATACTAATCCAGCACCTTCATTTGACAGATGAGAAAATTGAGACTCAGAGAAGTTTAGCCATTTTCCAAAGTCAGTGAATTCACAGCGCAAGCAGCACTTTGCAATGAGATGATACATCTGGTGAAGCCTCAGGACACTGCCCAACCATGCTAGACTGCCTGACTTCCTCTAGTCTACCATATTTCCCTACCTACATCTCCCACCTCCGTTGTTACCACTCTCCCTAACACTCAATGCCGCCTGGCCTTTTCTGAGTCCTGCCCCAGGGCCTTTGCCCTTACCATACCCGCTACTGAGAACTCACTGTCCCCAGAATTTTTCACAGCTGGCTCCTTCTCAGTCAGGCTGGGCTCCAATACCACCTCCTTGGCAAGGCCCTCCCAGACCAACTGATCTGAATTTCTTCACTCTTAATCATGCCATTTCATTTAATTTTTTCATAACAATGTTCTCATTTATTTTTCACAAAATGCCTCAGTGAGAGATAACAATGCAAACCATTACCTATCCACAGAAATGTGTGATTCAAACCAGAATTTTCTCAGACTCTATCATTGTCAAAATGAGAAAATTCATAGATGCATGTACAAGAAGAGGAACAGTATGCCCCATCCTAACATCCTGATAATACCCAATTCCTAAAGGCGGTTTAATAGTGCCCTACCTTATGTTAGCTTTCTCTGGTCACCCCCACCAGCTTAAAATTTTCTATTACATAATTCTTCACATTTTAACTTGGGCTTCATACACTCTGCTTTTATGAATTAAACTTTTTTTGTTTAATTTAATTTTTGAGCCAGCAAAAAGAACTGCTTCCTAGTCCAATTAAGTGAATACATCTAGCTCTAAAATTAAACCCAAGGCAATGTCCAGTTAATTCAATTTTTACCATCTCAGGCAACACTGTCTGAGGTTCCATTTATGTTTTCCAATAACAGGGTCAACCAATGCCATCTTCTTTAATTTATTTGCCTATTAAAACACACATACACAAATATATGTGTATATATATATAAATACGCTATCTAAACACACAGTTGCATACACTTGTATGTAATTACATACATAAAAGTGCACGTTCACACACACACATCTGCTACAATTTGATGGACTTAGTGGTATAATAATAAAATTCAAATCTATTTCAGTTATTGACACAAAATAGGAGCAAGCACTCACCAAAGGATCAATAGCTCAGAGCCCAAGTTTAAGGAGAACTGGAGGGGTTGATTTCCCATTAAGCAGGGGTGTTATAAAAATACTCCATGAGCATTGGCTGGTTTCTTTATGTCTATGAATGGGGAGGCCCAGAAAGGAGGAGGGTCAGGAGCAGGGAGGCTAAGAAGGGTAGCAGGTTCCCAGGAGTAACTGCACCACCAACATGCCCCCTTTGGCCACCATTCACCCTTCTCTCAACCCCTGAGCTATTGTTATCTGAGGAAAATGTACAATAAAAATTGCTCTGAAAGGGTAAAAGAACTACAAATGGACAATCTTCTGCCATGGAGACAGCAGATGATTGCATGGAAAAGGAAAGATGGAATAAAACTGACATGAGGGGGTAAGAGGGTGGACAGGAAGAGCCCAAAGCCCAGGTAAGTGAACATGGCCACCTCAGGTCTGCACACACCTCCCCTGAGGGACACTAGATCCCTTTCTCCACACCCAGCTTGCCGAGTCCCCTCCCGGTAGCCCAATCCGAGGGAGCTACTCTCACTTGCCAAATCTCTCACT